CTTAGCATATTTCATGTTGAAGCGTTGCAGTACACGTTCAATGCACTTCTCCTGAGATAGCCCCAACTCTCTGCTTGTTCGCTCTCGAACTATCTTCATCCCCAAAATTTGTTGTGCCGGGCCCAAGTCTTTCATATCAAATGACTTGGACAAATCTCTCTTCAACTTTGCAATCCGCTCCTTGTCTTGTCCTGCAATCAACATGTCATCCAAATACAACAACAATATAATAAAGTTGTTATCAGAAAATCTTTTGAAGTATACACATGGATCAGAATATGTCTTTATGTAACTTTGACTTTTCATGAATGAGTCAAATTTCTTGTACCACTGCCTTGGTGCCTGCTTCAACCCATAAAGACTCTTATTCAGTTTGCACACCATGTGTTTCCTTTCGGCTACTTCAAATCCTTCTGGATGCTCCATATAGATCTCCTCTTTCAAATCTCCGTGAAGAAATGCAGTTTTCACGTTCAACTGCTCCACTTCAAGATCTAGGCTAGCTTCTAAGCTCAAGATTGTTCGAATAGAAGTCATTTTAACAACAGGTGAGAAAAATCCGTCAAAATCAATACCTTTCTTCTGTTAAAAGCCGTTTACCACCAATCGAGCTTTGTATCTGACCAGCTTGCCATTTCCATCTTTCTTGAGTTTAAAGACCCATTTGCATTTGAGTGGTCTTTTACTTTTTGGAAGTTCAACCAGCTTGTACGTGCCATTTTTCTATAAAGATTCCATCTCTTCTTGCATGGCTTTCATCCACTGGTTCTTTTCTGGATGGGACAGCACCTCCTTAAGACTTTCTGGCTCCCCCTCATCACTGATGAGGACATACTCTGTGGAAGGGTACCTGTATGACTCTACCCTTGGCCTTTCTAATCTCCTCAGAGGTTGAGGTTGTTCTTCTTCCTGCGTGGCGTACTCCACTTGCTCGACATCATCTTCAAGTTGCTCCCCCTGCTCAATAACCTCACCAGGTTGCTCCCCTGCTCGACAACCTCGTCGGTCGTACTTTCTATACTTGTGGAATAGTTAGAAGTAGAAGGAATGGTAACAAGGTTAGGGATTATACCATTTTTTGCCTTCTCTGACTGGTCATCTGCAGTTACAACTTCACTTTCTCGGAAGACTACATCTCTTCTTCAGATTACCTTCTTCTTTACAGGATCCCATAATCTGTACCCGCACTCTTCATCTCCATATCCAATGAATATGCAGGGAATGAATTTATCATCCAACTTTGTTCTTTGCTCCTTTGGTACATGTGCAAAAGCTCTGTAACCGAACACCTTCAGATGTGAGTAGGACACCTCCTTGTTAGTCCAAACTCTCTCTAGGATGTCAAACTCCAATGGACTCCTATTGATCAGGTAACAGGCTGTCTGAACTGCTTCACCCCAAAATGACTTAGGCATTTTAGCCATTCTGAGCAGGTTTCTCACCTTCTCAACAATGGTGTGGTTCATTCTCTCAGCTACACCATTATGTTGTGGGGTTCCAGGAACTGTCTTTTCATGTCTGATCCCATGGCTCGAATAGTACTCTTCAAATTCCCTTGAAGTGTACTCACCTCCATTGTCACTTCGGAGACGCTTTAGCTTTTGGCCTGTCTCCCTTTCCACCAGAGCATGAAACTTCTGGAAAACTTGAAACACCTAATCTTCGGCTTACAAAATATAAACCCACAATTTTCGTAAAGCATCATCAATAAAAGTAAAAGAATATTTGTTACCGCTCATTGATTCAATTTCCATTGGACCACAAATATCAGAATATACCAAATCAAGTATATTTAATTTTCTTTCAAACGATGTCTGAAATGAGACTCTATGCTGCTTACAAAATAAACAGCAGTCACAAGGTTTTACCGTTGTACCTTTGGTATAAGAAATGAGTGATTTCCTGGCAAGAATTTCCAATCCCTTCTCGCTCATATGACCCATTCTTTTGTGCCACAAATCTGCAGAAATCTCATCTTGTGCCGTGTTCAATTCACCTCGACATATTTCTGCATTTGTCATGTACAACGTGCTACGAGCAACTCCCTTTGCAAACACCAATGATCCCTTGTGAGTCTCCACTTTTGATTTACAAAATAGTTCTCGTATCAATCTCGGTCTAAAGCAAATCCCGAGATCAAGTTCATCCGCAAATCAGGTACATGCCGCACGTCTTCTAGAACCAATGTGCATCCGACATTTGTCTTGATACAAATGTCTCCAATCCCCGCAATCTTTGAGTAACTTGTGTTACCCATTCTCACAGCTGAAATCACCTGCTACATATCTGCAAAAAAGATCTCTTATCGGTGTGGCATGGTAAGATGCCGTTGTGTCAACCACCCATTCCGACTCTGGACCTGCCAAGTGCATGCATTCCTCTTCTTCATATATGAAGAGAACAACATTATTATTGTTTTGCACTACGATGGTTGTATTGTCGTAATTCTTCTGGCCACTGGTTTCACCTTTGCCCTTCCATAGATTTGGGCAATCTCTTTTGAAGTGACCTGGTTGATTGCAATTGTAGCAATTTCTAGCTTTTGATTTGGATCGGTTCTTGGACTTCCCACGACCTCCGGATCTACCATAGTTGCTCGAACTCCTTTGATAGCTCCTGCCTCTACCTTCTGTGATGAGAGCCTGTCTTTTATTTTCAGGCTTCTTTCTCATCTTCTCATTGAGTAGAAGAGCCGATGTGACGTCTTTCAACTCAATGGTAGTCTTACCGTGCAGGATGGTTGTTGCCAAATCATCATACGAAGATGGCAACGAGTTCAACAGCAAGATGGCTTTATCTTCTTCCTCGATTTTCACTCCGAGGTTGGCCAGCTGTGTGATTAGTTCATTAAACACATTTAAATGTGACAAAAAATTCATACCTTCACCCATGCGTAGGGCGTCTAGTTGCTTATTCAAGTACAATTTATTTGTCAGCGTTTTGGACATGTATGGGCTTTCTAACCTTGTCTAAATACCACATGCGATATCTTCATCAATGATGTTATTTACCACATCATCTGATAAGTGCAACCTGATTGCACTAGCAGCCTTTTCATCCAAGTCAGCCCAATCCTCAGCTTTCATGGTATCAGGCTTTTTGGCATCAGCATCTAGTACCTTGTGTAATCCCTGTTGAATGAGTAGATTCTTCATCCTTCTTTGCCATGTTGTAAAGCCGCTATCTTCGTTGAATTTTGCTACCTCGTACTTTACTCCAAGCATTTTTTTTCTGAGTATAGTACTACCGACCGTGAATAATATTTCTGCGTATGAGCAAAACATGTGCTCTGATACCAGTTGGGAGTGAACCCCCCACATAAAATATTCACGGTAATAAAAATAGAATAATAACGTAGCACCGAGATACGATAATCAACAATAATAAAAGAGCGACAACGACACCAAGATTTTTACGTGGAAAACCCTTCTGAATAAGGGGAAAAAATCACGACCCAGAGAGGAGCAACTAATATCACTATAGTAAGAAATTTTACACTATGTAGGCCCGAGTAATATACTACAAAGACCACTACAATACTCAAAAGAATTAACCATCTTTTGATATTCCCACATCACTACAATATCGCTCACACTCTCTATTTTTCCTCACATACTATTTTCTTATACTCTGTCAGTGATGCCTCACTATTTCTTTCTCTTTGTTGGTGTATCTGAAGAAGTGAAAAAGCTCTCCTTTTATAACGCAAAAGAGCCGTGGGCTCAAAGTATTCTACAGGAGGATTAAAATCCTCCTCCACCCATTCCAAAACTTGATCCCCAAGAATGAGTAATAGCTAAGTAATGTTGTATAGGCACATGCCTATATTGATGGGATGAACCCCACAATATGCAGACAAATTTGACGTTGGAACTGAAAATGAACGATAACCCAATATCTGTCTTCCTTCGGAATGAACACGTATGGAATATCTCAGGAAGTATTCTTGCTAATCAAATGTTAAATACATAATATTTAAGTATACAAATATGTGTTTTCTCTAATGATTGACTTTTAAATGAGATGGTCACGTAAATGAGTAAATGACTGTTCGACTAGGGAGAAGTCTATTTTATATCCATTTTCGGTGCTAAGGAATTGTCATTGTCTATACCAAGAGATAAATTTATTTAAGCACATAAATAATGACACTTAGACACTAGACAAGGCGTACGTATAATACCACCAGTTATGTATAAATTTACACATAAATTTGTCGGAAAAAGGAAAAGAGAAGAAAAATGAAACATCTTAATATCAACTTTTAGAATTCCCAGTGAAGTATAACGCTTGAAAATTATGAAAGTTATGCAATAAGTCTACTGCCTGCCAGTCATATACTAGCAATGAAAATATGCAGAATATAAAGCACCCAAATAGTTTATAGCTTTTACACAAAATGTAGTTGTAAGTTATCAAACAGAGGTCAATTAATTCTAACCAACAACATACCCAGTATATTGCTACAAGTGGGGTCTGAGGAGGATAGTTTATACGCAGTCCTTACCCCTACCTTGTGAAGGTAGAGAGGCTGTTTCCGAAAGACCCTCGGCTCAATACAACAAAATCACAACAATTACGATAGAGAAATACGGCAAACGAAATAGTAACAACAATAAGAAAAATAAAACGAAGCAAAAATAAATATATCGATCTAACACAAGGTAACACTAATACTACAGCTAGGGAAGAAAGAACATGTGTGAAAAGGAAATAAACCCGACCACTAACTAACCTATAACCCTAATCTTCGACCTCCAGGTTGAAGAACATGTGAACTTTAATCTAAATGATGAAAAAGAGTTGTAGAGCTTAAAGATTTTAAAGCCATTCCAGGTTTGAGTAACATATAAATGTGCCAGATTTCAAATTCATTTCAAACTAAATCCGATTAAACATGTGATAAATGTAGTAGCATGCTTCAATGATAGATCAAAATATGCAGAATATTACTTGATAGTGTAAGTTGAAGTTCAGCATCTAAAGACAAAAATGGAAAATGACAAACACATATCATCTTGAAGTTCAAAAAGATCCAAGGACACATAAAGCATATGATTAATTAACACATAAATTGAGTTATACATATTGATACCTCCATATAAGATATAAGAAGGAAAATCCAGGAAGGTATAGACAACCTGAAGCAACAACAACAACAACAACAACCCAGTGCGTCCCACACGTGGGGTCTGGGGAGGGTAATATGTACGCAGACCTTACCTCTACCTTATGAAAAGAGAGGTTGTTTCCGATAGACCCTCAGCTCAAGAACGGTGAAACAGACAACCTGAAGATAGGTAAAAAAAAAAAGAGAGAGAGATTTTTATGTATATATAATATATGTTGAATTCCCTTGGCTTTTTCTTATCTTTACATCTTTAGAACCATAGTCCAGCCCAGAGAGTAAGAGCATATTCTGTAACTCAATTGCCTAATGCTACTACGAGCTCCCGAGTAACTTCTGTTTGTTGTCCTAACTAGAGATACTTGCATTTCCAAGCTCTTTAGCTAGTCATTCTAATGTCCCAAATTGCCCAGATACTTTGCAAGAGCCACATACATTGACCCCATATTGTAAGCGACAGTTCGATTTTTCCAAACCCATTTTCCCTTCCAAAAAGAAAAGACAAGAAGGCAAAGATGCCATTTGTGGTTCTCAAATTTCTAAATGTCATTGCTTTTTTTATTTACAATCCAGCAATGTATAGTACCCAAGATAAAGTATGTGAGTGCGAAAAATTTCACTTTCGAACTATTCTATTCATCTTAAAGGGTTAACGAAGAATCCATTTTAGTAGTTCATGAGGGATGAAAGTCATTTACATGATTGTGTAACCAGGGCCGCCTCCACCTTCTGGGACTGTCCATTCGATATTCTGTCTCGGATCTTTAATACTGCAGGCCTGAAAGAATACAGACTTAATACTGTAACCCGGATGCCAATATGAAGTGTCATCAAGTAGTCTATAAGCATAAAAACTAAGCAGAGTGAAAGGTAGAGTCGTTGAATTGCCATAGGACTATCAGCAAGAACCCTTGCAGCTTGCGACACAAACTATGTTTCATGGATATTATTGCAGCTTAGAGGTATCTACACCGGGATTTGAAACATATGCCATGGCTTTAACATGTAAAAGCTTTAACTTAGTGCTGGAAGATTGGACCAGGGAAACAAGACAGCATTTTACCTTGCAGTGCAAGCAGTTTTGAGCATTGATCTGTAACTTTAAGTCACCCGTCTCATCCGGTATGTACCTATCATTTTGAAGAGGATAATTAAAAAAATGTGTCGCACATGAGAAGGAAATTGAAAAAATATATTATTTAGATGAGAATATTACTCATAAACTCGTGCAGGACAATATCGTGCCTCAGGTCCAGCATACTTGGGCAAGTTGACATTTTCTGGAACTGTAGGATCTTTCAGAAGAAGATGAGATGGTTGGTCATGATCATGATTTGTGTTGCTCCTACAGGAAGGCAATTAGAAAGAAAAATCAGCAGTTTATTATGAAAGAAGATCTGTCCACCAAGGGAGGAGGGGGCTAAAAGGAAAGATATTTTAGTCCTTGCAGCATACAGAAAGAAGACAATGCATGGGAACTTCTTTAGACCTGATACATTACGTGTCTAGTTAGTGCTTTAACCAAATGAGTCCTACCGCACATATAAGTAATTTATTTGGCATGGTAATGGTGATATGTTCAACCGTGATGTAACTTCTATTTTTCAAAAAATTAACCAGGTTATTCACAAACCTTAATCTAGAGTTCTCACATGATGACAAGACTTGATAAGATTTCAATTGGCTAGATTAGTTCCTGATCGACTCTCTAGCAATTCTTTGTTCTGGGAAAGTATGCACCAATAGAAAAAATCTTCATCATATTGCAGCATCTTTGACCAAACTTTTCGATTTAGTTGCTACAAATTCATTTTCATATAGGGGAAATATATAGCTATAATACAATTTGCGGGAGAACGAACAAATTTATCACCTACCGGCTCATTAAGGTATCAGAAAATGTTTGTGACAGACAGTTTACCTGTATAGAGAGGTCGGTACATCAAAAGTTACAACACCATCTGGCTTCGGGTACTCAATTGGTGAGAATAATTGTGCTTCCTGCAAATAAGGACCAAATTCATGTAATTTCGGGAGCCAAACACTTGATCTGCGAGCTATACGCTCCATTTCAGAACATAATCAACTTCCTTCAAAAAGAGCTCACTTAATCTGAGCTAGATATTGAGATACAAATGGACATGGAAGATTTTAGAAATCGGCTTTGTTAGAATTAGTTCATGTATAGTTTCCCACATTGGTATAGAAGGCTTTAGGTATATGTAAACATTGTATATAAATAGGGCTATTGTAAAACACTTAATGTATATCAATAATATATTTTTTCTCGTGCTTTCTCACAGGCTTGGTAAACAAGAAACTATGGTTAAGAGTTCATTTGGTAAATGAGAAACATCATCTCTCTTAGTTTTGAGAGAATAAAACAAGAATAAATGTTGGTTTTTTCCAAAGATGCCTGAAGAATTTAACTGTAAATACTAGTTCGGGAGACTTACGTGTTTTTCCTTAGCATAAGTGGATCGAGAGCATCCACGACTTGCGTCACTGACTCACTGGTCATTGGGAATCCTCACAAAGCGGATGAATTCCTTTTGTCCACATCCTACTAATCTCCTAGGTGATAAACATTAGGGAAACTTTTTTTTTCCTACACCCATAATAGTGTACTTATAGATTATAAGTAAGGTTTAGGAGGACAAACTAATAGGCTAATGTCCAAGCTCCACCAAGCTAAGGAAAACATATTTTCTGTGAGAAAGCATGGGAGAAATACACTATTGATATGATCAATTACAGAACAATGAGCCCTATTTATACAATACATATCCTACTCCTATTCTATGTGGGACTAGAACCAATTCATATTATTTACATAACTATCTAACACTCCTCAAGCCGGTGCATACAAATAATATGTATCGAGCTTGTTACATATATAACTAATACGAGCACCAGTGAAGGATTTGGTGAAAATATCTGCAAGCTACAGGAGGACTCTTGAAGGGAAAAAGAACATTGACTCAAGTGAAATGTTTTTATGCTTTTGTACAATTGTTGGAGCTCACATGACATAACAACTTGTATAAGGTGATTATTGAAAGTTTGTGGAGGATACCACTTTAAGATGTCCTTCCCAGTCCACAACCAGCGCTATAAATAACATACATGCTTTACCCAGCAAAATAAAGCATCTGGTATTAGATTAAATCAAATAAACTCTTACGATAAAAGAATTCCTTACACTTGTAGCTTCATGATCAGGTTTCCCATGCTTCAGAGTGACTGGAGATCTTCCCTTGAGTATGTAACTGCCAAATATAAGCTGATCCATTTATCATACAGGTCTAGAAAATTGGTATTAAATATAAAACCATGAGTGTTGAAAAGACGTTGTGACTAAGAGTATGTTTGGAATGGAAAAATACCAAAAGAATTTTGTCTCACTATCCAACACTCCAAAATTTAGAAACTATTTCAAACGGACTTTAGGAGAAAAACATAAGCAAAGAAAGTCGCTTTTCCCCTTTTAATGAAAAATATTTTTTAAAGGAAAATATATTTTGGTATTTAGTGCCAGAAAATGACTTATTTTCTGGAAATTCTTCATATCAAACACACCCTAAGCAAAAGGCAGAATCTTACTGCTCTACGGCACTTATAGCCAAACCAGGATAGAGCCCATACTCAAATGCCTGCAGCACAGAAGTTAATAAAGATAGAAGATTAAACAGGGAATATTAAGAGCTGAATTCAACTGAAAAATTAATCTAACTGAAAAAATAGTAGCTGAATTCAATATATAAGAGGTAACAAAAAGTTGGTTGCCAGAGCCATTTGTCTCACTAAATCAGGAAAAGCATAGTGGTGCTCTCTTCCAGCAAAAATTTATGCATTATGCTCCAAAAGTACTATACTTTTGGGATGATGCAATGTGATGATTACCTAACAAATATGCTCAAAGGTTTTCAAAACAGAACACTCACAGGACGATAGTTCCTTGCAGTATATAGTTCTTCCCATATCCATGAACTTCGTAAATTGTCCCAAAAATTTTCCATCTTCAAGCCTTCTTGGAGTGTGCTGAATACAGATTCTGCCGCTAGCATTCCTGTCAGACATTTGAAGTTAATAGGTGCATCATTTACTTTTTTGAGGATAAGCAGAAAAAAAAAAGTCGGGAAACTTAATATCTTGTCCCCTACTCGCAGGAGTACGATAAAGAGTTTTCAGATGCATCACTAGCTATGAAGCCGTGAAGCCCTTTATGTTGAAGACTTGCAACTTTGGAGAATCAAATACTCAGAAATATGTAATTCTTAACCAAGCAGGCATTACAAAGTTTCTGTCCAAGGAGAATGGCCTTAGCCATTTAGAAAAAGTAAGCTTTAGTCTTTTAAGAAATCTAAATTGGTTTCTCTTTTTTCTTTTTGGTATGCTATTAACTGTTAAAGCCACTAGTAACAGAAAAGAGAATAGTACAAGCAGTTCTAGTCAATAATGAAGGTAGAATGGTAAACCCCCCCCACCCCCCAAAAAAAAAAGAGACAAATAACGAAAGCACCGATAAGGGAAATGCAGGGGCCAAATTCTTAATTCGTTTTTTACAAACCATGACACTTGTAGGTTTTCAAGTTTGCATAGTCATGGATTAGTAGAAAAAGATGAAACAAAAAGGGGGAAAGAAAAAGATGAGAGAGAGCAAGAGTGGAAATTATTCTCTAAGAAGAATATGAAACCCCATACAACAGAACTGGGTACACCATTCAAAAGAAGAGCTTGTTCATAGTCAATAAGTTAAAGTAAATCACCAAGACAGACGATTTTTGAACTAGTTTAAAAATTGAGACGTAGTTGTTATTGTTGTTGTATCAATTCAGACATTTCACTACCCACCACTAGAAAACTAACCGGTTCATAAACACAAAGACAAGAAATGACTCATGCTTGATGAAACAAATTTTCGAATTATAAGGACTACTCCCTCCATCTCAAAAAGAATAATTCCCCTTTTTAGTCCATTTCTAAAAGAATGACCTCTTTTTAAATTTGGAAACAATGTAACTTTAAACTTCTCCTTTTACTCTTAATAGATGATTTATAGCCACACAAATCTATGATTGTTTTAGATCATAAGTTTCAAAAGTCTTCTATTCTTTCTTAAACTCCATGCTCATAAGTTTTAGATCATTAGCTGCCTCCCTAAATCTCGCACTCAAATAGCTTAAACTATTAATTCTCCCAAGCAACAATTTTAAAATTACTGAACACCGTGAATTTTGCAGTAGAATAACATAAATTTTCAATTAATAAGCTATTCCGAATTCTGATTAGCCAGGTTAAAACTAAGTACAAGAACCATAGGTAATACCTGATTTCATAGCTGTGTGAGTTCCCTTAATCTTTGGTACATTTAAGAAGCCAGCTGAGCATCCTATAATTGCTCCACCAGGGAAAACTGGATATGGAATAGACTGAAATTTAACCGAATTATTTGTATTTGTATGACTAAGAATAAGTTACAAATACATGTCTCATGTATGTCAGAATAATATGTGAAGAAAGCTATGTGCATTTGATTCAATTTATCAAATGTGTTCACATATTGAACTGATAATCACAAAGTTCTTTAATGAAATTTACTAAACACATTTGAGTTCAGGAAAAATGGCAACACTAACACTATGTTTGGATCATTGTTACCCATCGTTTTATAATGTATTGTATTGTACTGTATTGTATTGTATTGTATTGTATCGTTTTATGGATACAACGTTTGGATAGATTGTATCGTTTGCTGTTGTTAAATAATATTTTGTTGTTTGGTTTGACTGTATCATACTATACTGTAACTGATAAGTTCACTAAAATACCCCCAGTTGTTTTAAATAAAATTTATCAAGAGTTATACGTAAAAATAATTTAAGACAACCTCTTTCTACTAATTTACGATTAATTACGTAGCTTGAAAACAAGAGCAAAAACCTGAATAAAAGGTTAACTAATATTAGCAACAAAAAAAATTAAAACGATAGAAAGAGACAAAGAATTGAACGGAGACTTGTATAAAAAGAACGGGGCAAACCAACTCTGGAAAAGATGGAAGAAGACAAAGTATGTCAATAGGTTGGAGATTTGGAGTTAAAATAAAATAAAAATTAAATAATAAAATAGAATTATAGAGTAATAAGTAAGGGCAAAATTGGAAAAGAAATAGGAAACGATCCCACCACACCAAATCGGTTGTTTCATAAAATGGGTCTTTTGGTTGTTCCAGAACAATAGATTTAACAATACGATACAACTAATTTTAAATAAACAATCAAAACAAACATTGTTTTGGAATAACAGTACAATACAATACAATGGGTAACAACCATCCAAACAAGCTGTAAGCATCACTCATCCTTGTCAGCCACAGCATAGATGTGGACATTATTATATGGCAAAGTCCATAATGCACAGGCTCTGAGTACAATCAGAAACATTGTTGAAGATGGGTGCCATAACTATGACAAGCAAGATGTGAAATCCATAAAATAATAAGAAAAAGTATCCAACACACCTGATAACCTCCTTCATTTAAACAGCGAGCACCATATTGGAGAACAGTTCCACCCTCGAGAAGCGGTCTAATAGCAGGATGACGTTTAAACCTCTGAGATTAGGATATGAAAGGTAGGTAACTAGATGCTTAAAGCAAAAGAAACTTGAACTAAGTTAAATAACTTGTTCTTTGAGCGAGGACCAACGGGGACACTATATAAACAATAGCATCGTCATATTTACCTGATATTCCTCGTAAGGATTCAAGAAAGGGTTGTGATAATTTAGAGCAACCACAAAGCCGACAGCAACTTGTCTGTCTTTCATATGGTACAAGAAGGAACCTCCATAGGTCTTCTGGTCCAAAGGCCAACCAAGTGTGTGAAGCACAGAACCAGGCTGATGTTTGTCTACATCAATCTCCCACACCTGAGCTAGAAACAAGTTCAGGAATCCACTAAGTTGATATAAGTTCATAGTCCATTTAAAGTTTCAGATGCAGGGTGATGTATATTTGAAATAACTCCCTCTTTATAAGTTTATGAGATCCTAAATGAACAAGCATAGAGAGAGTATCTAACTAGACTGCGAAAACCAATCAATGTAGGGAGCTGGCAACTGGAAATTTTCTTTTAAAGGATGAGAAGAAAACAATTACTAGTAACATAGCTGTATTGATACCTTGCTATATCAGGTTATCCGTGACTGTTAATGAGAATGAATTTCTTTTTTTCCTTTTCTTATAACGGTTATCTCGGGGCCTACTTCTGCACCTCGACTGTTGTATCGATTACCTGTTACCTTCCACCAGCACATGTACCGGGTAACTCTGCCCACCAAGGCTTAGGCCGATAGAAAAATATCACATAAGTTTTCTTTGTCTCTATTGGGATTTACATCCTGGTCTCCCATGATTTTCACCCACTTCAATGACTGTTAGGCTACATTCTTAGGTACTTAATGAAAATGGATTTTAGTATGAAGTTCCGTGTAAATCATGATATCCGTCAAAAGGAAGTTAATGTCTCCAAGAAAGCCTAAAGCACAGCAAGCTCAACATTCTCTGCCTCTTGCAAACAAACAAACAACAACAGCAAATCCAGTGAAGATCCCACAAGTGGGCCGTCTCTTTTCTGGGTTCAACAGTATTCACAAGAAAACGAGAACAGAGAGGTTGAAGAAAAAAATGAACTTACTAAAAGTAAGGAAATATATAGATTAACTTGTTAGAAGTAAAATTGATGCAAACTGTGCGAGTATTCCAACTCACAAATAGTATGGTGTTCTTAATTCCTTCTTCTAGATTGTCGTCCAATAAAAATGGGGCTTATCTCTAAGCGCCTAATAAGAAAAGCAGGGAAGTAACGCCTGCAAAGGGAAGGTTATCTTTGGTTTAAAATTTGCATGTTGGAGAAGTTGCATTTTCTACATACCCCCCCCCCCCTCCTTTTTTTTGTAGTGGTCAGGAGACTAACCAGATCTCATCATGAGCTTTAAGATTTTCAGGCTGAATCAGGAATTAGATAGATTGACAAATCTAATAAACAGATATTTCTATCTCCTACATATCAAAGAAGCAAAGAGGAGAAAAGAAAAAAGATTAAAAGAAAAATACCTCTTTAATTCCTAAAGCATAGGTCTGATGTTGTCCCATCCCTTTCTCTCTCAAGTTGTACTTCTTGATTACTTTCTGTCAGGAAACATAAGAGTCAACAAACTCAGTACTAAAATTTAAACATATGTATAAACCACAAATACTCATTTATGTAAAGACAAAAGAATAAACTTTCTGCATACCTCTGATAAAGATCCTCTACATCCTTCTGCAAGGAGTGTAACACGCCCTGCACACCATCATAGAAGATGGGGATTAGCAAATTAGGAAGTATGGAAGTGAGCCAAATGGTATCCTGGTCTAAAGGCAGACAGTTAGCATTTATTTTGCTTGTCCTTCATACGAGTTACCTTTTTGATCCATAAAGCTCCATATAACAGCGTGGCTTCAGATTACCGAGGACATGGCCCTAGATAGGAATTTGTGGAGGTCGAGCATTAAGGTTGTAGGTTAGGAGGTAGTTGTGCATATCTCTACGTCGCACCAGAGTGAGACTAGTGTGATAGGATATTGTCTTAGACTGCTAGTGGTTAATGTTGTGTTCACGCTACTCTTTCGTTTCTCATAGTGCCGGGCCTTATCTACTGGTCATTGTTTTGCTTTTCATCTATTTTCTGGTTCTTGTGATGCTGTTATTTTTTTCTATGGTTTCTGTTGATGGTACAGATATATTGCCTCTTTTCGTCTTCTTGAGGCGAGGGTCTATCGGAAACATCCTCTCTATCCCTCGGGGTAGGGGTAAGGTCTGTGTACACACTACCCTCCCCAGACCCCACTAGTGGGATTTCACTGGGTCGTTGTTGTTGTTTTGTAAAGCTCCATATGAACAGCATCATATTCCAACTGTTACTAACTAAACTGGAGTTCCAGTTTTCATTTGTATCAAATGAGTTCCTGTAATACGCACAGATACTGACTAGAAGCTTCAAGACTACGTAAACTGAGCTGGAGTTTTGTCATGGAAGTACTGAGTCATTTGATTAACTATTGAGATGTTTGATTAACTTTCTTTCTAGAATCTTTATAGGGCACAAATAACGTTTGATAATTATACTCACTTTTCCATGGACTAGAGAGAAATTGCATATCAAAATATATATTGTGACTAGTTAACCACTTCACATCAAAGTAAAGGAAGATTTAAATTCCATTCACTAGTCATCAAACGAACTGCAGTAACTGTGGATATAATGTAACTTCGACAAACTTCTTCGCAAAAAAAAAGAGAAAAAGAAAAAGAAGAAAAAATTGAGTAATAGAACTTGCCCTTCAGTGCAACACCACGCTGGTAGTTCTCTTTTCTGGAACCATCTTTAGCCACTCCCATATCATTAGTAGCAATACCAGTAACTTCGTTGTGTTCGTTGAATAAAATCTGAAACTTTTCTACCTTAGCAAGTAAAAAACAGAAATAACGAAATAATCCAGAATGACAAGATTAGCACCTCACTAGCAGCAAAACCAGGGTATATTTCAACTCCTAGTTCTTCAGCTTTCTGCCCCAACCAACGTACTAACTGACTCAAACTGCATTACCATGATTGTTATGATTTAATGTCTGGAAATGTCATAACTATATCAGCAAAACGCACATCTCATAAATAAGTCATTTGACCATGCACATCTCTGTCTGTACGATGATATCAGAGTGGGTATGGACTACAAACCTGTAAGTGGGGATCCCCATCTAGTGCTTTAACTATACTCTTAAAAGTTCAAACTATCCAACTTCTTCACCGACTAGCAGAGCCCACTCAGACCTACTGCGTCTTTGCTCTTCTTTTGGTTTTTGTTCCATATTTTTCCTCTTATATTAATCTTCGTAACTTTTTTTTGGGTGTGTAAGTGCCTCTTTTCTTCATTTCCGCTAGTTGATCAGGCATGACATGGGGAGGCTTCAGATTACCGAGGACATGGCCCTAGATAGGAAGTTGTGGAGGTCGAGCATTAGGGTCGTAGGTTAGGAGGTAGTTATGCATATTCCTACGGCGCACCAGAGTGAGGCTAGTCTGTTAGGATTTTGTCTTAGACTGCTAGTGGTTAATGTTGAGTTCATATTACTTTTTCGTTCCTTTTAGTGTCGGGCTTTATCTACTGGTTATTGTTTTGCTTTTCGTCTATGTTCTTGTAATGATGTTATTTCTTTCTAAGGTTTATTGATGATACTGATATACTGTCTCTTTTCTTCATCTTTTCGTCTTCTTCGGTCGAGGGTCTATCAGAAACAACCTCTCTATCCCTCCGGGTAGGGGTAAGGTCTGCGTACACACTATCCTCCCCAGACCACACTAGTGGGATTTCACAGGGTTGTTGCTGTTGTTGTTGTCCCGCTAGTTGATCTATAAAAATGCACGAGTTACACCGATGATCTCAAATAATATCAGTTATTTCAACCGAACACATCTTGTTCGGTGTACTTTTTCCTTTGATCAGATTATTTTATCCACTATGCTTGTACAAGTTCTTTCTTCTTTTAGCAATAAAATCTTCTTTTCTCAGACAGTTCCATTAGTTTTTCCTATGACTTTCCACTGGATATCCTGCTGCACTTCTCCAATTCTGCCTCTAAAAAATTTGCTTAAATACCATTCATGCATCAAGATTAATATGGAGTCAATAAATTAGGATGATATTTACGGAACATTTTGAGAAAATGCAAGACAGTATAAAAGAATCTTTTCCTCAAAATCCCCAACTGAACCCAACACCAACTTTAAAAAAAACGAGAAACCAAGACTAGAGACAAAGGAGTAATATGCACACTTGAATCCATGTTTCAAAGTAGATACCTTATGACATAGTTTCCTTTATTATGAAATGGGCTTGGAAGCGAAAAGGCACGATTTTTGGAAAGTAGCCAAAAATCATCAGAAGTAACAGGAACATGAATGGGAGCCTGCAATCAGAAATGGAGTTGGGTTTACATATGATATAAGTAAAGCCACACTACACAGGACCAAATTGTTATTTGCAACTTCTTATATTAGTGGCTGTTTGAACGCCAAAGTCTATTTGGGGGGGGGGGGGGGTAGGGGGGGTTCAATTCAGGATTGTTAAAGGGTAGGGTACCTCTTCTTGTTTCCAGTGGGGAAAGAGTTCATCCAAAGCCCGGGGCTCAAATACGTTTCCTGACAAGATATGAGCACCTGTCCAATCCAATCAAAATCAAATTAACAACCACAATTAATTTCATTTTTAGAATATAAATGGAGTATATAAATTAACGTACCCAGTTCAGCTCCTTTCTCAACAACACACACGGATAAGTCAGCGTCCTTTTGTTGGCACAACTGTTTGAGCTTAATAGCAGCTGATAACCCAGCAGGTCCACCTCCAACTATCACCACATCGTAGTTAATTGCTTCTCTACTATTCGATTCACTACTACTACTGTAACTCCTAACCGAACTTTGATTCCAAAATTCTAACTTTGACTTATGGATAAAGCTTGAATCTTCTTTACCCAAAATTGAATTGGGTGAATATGGAGGCTGTGCTGATCTATAGAGGGTTTTTGAACGACATAATAATTTGAATTTCGAAGATGACTTGATGAACCTGTACATGATGACTGATAATTTTAATAATTACTTGCTTTCCTACTATTTGTAAAAGACACTTGAGAATTAGATTCTGTATTTGCTGCCTCCTCTCATCACACACTCTGTGTTTGTTTGGAGTTTGGTCACAGCTATGCGGGCAACAACTATCGGCATTTGAGCCTCTCTTTTAACTTAGGGTGGGCGTGTCTATGATATCATTACGTGTTCATAAAAATCCCAAAAATCAAGTCAAACCGAAAACCAAATCAAACGGATAAAAAAAGTTACTCCCTCCGGTTCACGCTTTTTTATTTTGGTTCAAAATTAGTATACAGTTATGATCAAGAATGAATTCAATTTGTTTTTACAAAATAACCCCTATGTACATAGCCCTAAGAAGTTTTCTTATTACTCACATTAAATATTTAATCAGGGATAGTTTAGTCATAGTATGTATTTTTGTATAGAATTTAGTATTTTCTTAATGGGCGTGCTAAAAGCAAATTGGTCACTTATTGTGAACCGAAAGGGAGTAATATTTTTTCGGTTTGGTTTGATTTTGATTTTAAATTTTAAAAACAGATTAAATTTAATTTGATTTTGGTTTTAATAAAAAATAATAATCGGAAAAAAAAAAACGAACCAAATCAACTATCGAAATAGCATTTAAAATTATTATTACACCTTTATATATATACATACTAAATTTTTAAAATTTTATGGTGCATGTTAATCATTCACACTTTACTTTAGTTCTTTGATATTATAATAATCAAATTTTTTGCCTTTTACATTCTAGTTTGATTGGTAGTTTTCTTTTGCTAAGTAAAAGAATCTATCATCTTAAAAATAACCTATTTTTAATTTTTATTGAGTCCTTAAATTATTCATCACTAATTGATTCAATTATCATCAATATATCTCGGTAAATAATAGATTTCTTAAAGAGCAATTGGTTTGATAGTGTTACTGTTGGTGAAAATGCAATTACAGCTGAAAAATAAAATGAAGAAAATAAAATATCTTTAGGCTGAGGGGCGGTTACCTCGCTCTCTTTAAGGAGATTCAAGCCCACTGCAGGCAAAGTCTTCACTGGTCCAGCAGTGATCCTCTTGACTTGTCTCCCCCAAAATACAACAGCCCGATCACGTCGTATGACTCGAACAAACTCTGGACAAGTTGTTGAGTTCAAAGCTCCACCAAGATGAACACCTTCCTTCAACAAAAGTAAAAACTCTTTTCTTCTTTCACAACTTTAACCTCACTTTATTGAAACACTCTATAATTATTTTTCTCACACCACATTATGGAAGAAAGACTCATATTTATGAGTGTAGGAATTCTTCCTTGAATTAAATTGAAAGAAAGTGGGGTAATAAGTTATGAAATCATGGAAAATATGGGATAATTAGTGTGTAATTAGTGGTAGAACATGTGAGTAGAGTTACAAAAGAGTTATGGTCATTTTCTACATCATGGAGTAGTGGGAGTTATGGGAGTTATAGCCATTTTCTACATCATGGAGTAGTGGGAGTTATGGCATATTTTGTTTTAATATTAAAATGCTAAAATACTAACAGTTACATTGAAAAAGTAGTCGCCGGAATATGTGTTAGATAGTATAAGTCTCGTATTTTAGAAAAAATCGATAAATAACTAGAAAAATTAAAAAAAAATGACAAAAAATCGACATAAATCGAATCGATAAAAAACCGACTTAATCGGTTTGGTTTGGTTCCAATATTTGAAAAATCGACTTACTTGGTTTGGTTTCTTTTTAGAAAAAACCCGATTCAAATCAAACCATGAACACTCCTAATGATATGTATATCTCTCTCTTGGGTTGTTTTTCGAAAGTGAGTTTTTCTTTGACAGATTACCAGTTATGTCAGCCTATAAATCAGTCCAAAACACCTCCAACCATTCTCAAATTTTGTATATTGACTCATCTATATGTTTTCAATAAATTTCAACCATACAAATTGAAAAGTGTCCCTTTTTCTTAGATTTTGAAATCTTATATATATATATATATATATATATATATATATATATATATATATATATATATATATATATATATATATATATATATATATAATGTGTGTGTGTGTTGTGTGTGTGTGTGTGTGTGTGTGTGTGTATTTCATCAGCTTGTTTGCTACCTCGTTCATGAAATTTCTTTTCCGTCTTGCATGTAATGTTGCTGATCATGCTTTAAAATATGAAGGATATCTTTGCGTGCGATTCTTGGAAAGAAAGTATCCTTATTTATTTTAGGTTTTTATTTTCTTATGTGTTTGGTCTAGCGGAACACATAGTCTAATAATCTAAATTTTAATTTAAACTTTGAGCCTCTTCAATTCATTTGGAAGCAAATGCAACATTATTAGTTATAAATGTTACCTAACGCTATAACTTTGTACCAAGAGGTCATGTACGAAATATTTATTATTGTGTATATCTACCGTTTATTAGAGGGAAATCAGGATTTGAATCAATAGTAGTTAATAATAAATGTGATTTTTTTATTCTATCTATTTTCAATAAATATCATTTAGTTTTACTTCGACATTAGTTTGAAGAAAAAAAAGACTTTTGAAATTCAGTTGGTCTTCCTTCTAATCCATTTAATAATTATAATAATTATGTAAGAAAAATATTCTAGTTCCACCTGTGGGCTGTGAGTCTGTGACGTTGTTTAATCTTTAACTCTATGTTACTATTTATTTTCATAAATGAATACCCGACTCTTTCCTCTTGAAGATTGAACTACCCCGAAGATTATTTAGATACAAGCAAAAAATTTAGCAAAAGCTATATAGAAGAAATTTATTAAACTAGGGAGAGAACTTGGTAGGAGGCTTTTTCAACACTCATAAACTCTTGAATCTGTCTACATCGTAGTTACCTCTCTACAATAGAAAATATATAATAGCACCCCTAATTATAATACTACAAAACCAAATTTGACCAGAATCTAAAAAACCTATTCCTACATCATTTTGGTTATGAATCCTAGTTAGACATAAATTAAATAAACTAGTAAATACCAACTCCTAGACGATGTAGAAATACTAATTAATCTTGGTTTAATTGCCAACAGCCTCCCTTAAACTAAGATCTTCAAACTTGAGCATGCCATGAGTAACATCAAGCCTTGTACAAGTCAAGTACCTTAGACTCTCCACCAATTCCCTAGAATATGTAGCATCAACAAAATCACGAGTGCCATCTTTAGTCAACTTCAATTTATCTTGAATATTGTGTTGGACTTTAAAGACTATATGTGTGTGTGTGTGTGTATTTCATCAGCTTGTTTGCTACCTCGTTCATGAAATTTCTTTTCCGTCTTGCATGTAATGTTGCTGATCATGCTTTAAAATATGAAGGATATCTTTGCGTGCGATTCTTGGAAAGAAAGTATCCGTATTTATTTTAGGTTTTAATTTTCTTATGTGTTTGGTCTAGCGGAACACATAGTCTAATTATCTAAATTTTAATTTAAACTTTGAGCCTCTTCAATTCATTTGGAAGCAAATGCAACATTATTAGTTATAAATGTTACCTAACGCTATAACTTTGTAGCCAAGAGGTCATAGTACGAAATATTTATTATTGTGTATATCTACCGTTTATTAGAGGGAAATCAGGATTTGAATCAATAGTAGTTAATAATAAATGTGATTTTTTTATTCTATCTATTTCAATAAATATCATTTAGTTTTACTTCGACATTAGTTTGAAGAAAAAAAAAGACTTTTGAAATTCAGTTGGTCTTCCTTCTAATCCATTTAATAATTATAATAATTATGTTAAGAAAAATATTCTAGTTCCACCTGTGGGCTGTGAGTCTGTGACGTTGTTTAATCTTTAACTCTATGTTACTATTTATTTTTCATAAATGAATACCCGACTCTTTCCTCTTGAAGGATTGAACTACCCCGAAGATTATTTAGATACAAGCAAAAAATTTAGCAAAAGCTATGTAGAAGAAATTTATTAAACTAGGGAGAGAACTTGGTAGGAGGCTTTTTCACAACTCATAAACTCTTGAATCTCTCTACATCGTAGTTACCTCTCTACAATAGAAAATATATAATAGCACCCCTAATTATAATACTACAAAACCAAATTTGACCAGAATCTAAAAAACCTATTCCTACATCATTTTGGTTATGAATTCTAGTTAGACATAAATTAAATAAACTAGTAAATACCAACTCCTAGACGATGTAGAAATACTAATTAATCTTGGTTTAATTGCCAACAGCCTCCCTTAAACTAAGATCTTCAAACTTGAGCATGCCATGAGTAACATCAAGCCTTGTACAAGTCAAGTACCTTAGACTCTCCACCAATTCCCTAAAATATGTAGCATCAACAAAATCACGAGTGTCACACCTCCTTTTTTACACACCTACCCCGAAGGATAATGTATAAGGGAGTTTTTCCATTTAAAGTGACATTATTCGAAATGGGATTATTTATTTATTTTTAGAGTCGCCACTTGGGAAAGGACTGGCTTTTGGTATCCCAAGTCACCGATTTAATTTAAATCCTAAATCGAGGAAAAATTCGACTTCCCAATTGGAGTCTGTGAACCAGAACTTCTGAATAAGGAATTTAGTTGACCCGAGGGAAGGTGTTAGGCACCCCCGGATCCCGTGGTTCTAGCACGGTCGCTTAAATTATTATAAATGGCTGAAATCTGATTTTAATACATGTTCCAATTTTTAAGATCATTTACCGTTTTTAGTTATTTTTTACGAAAGTGAACGCCGTTTAAGAGCGTGTTTTTGGATCACGTCACATGAAATGCACCCGGATCCTCAACACCTCTTATTCAACATTTTGGGATTTGGATTTGAGTTGCACGAAATGCACACTCGAGTTTAGGAAAGTAATATTATTAAAAACGCGCCTAAAGTGGCTAGCGTCTTATTAACTTTGCGGGAAACCATGAAAATTCGCTAAATGGCATCTCCGAATCTCTAAAATATTTTAATATAGTATTTAATGAAGGCCCCGCAATTTCATGTTTTATGTGGCGAGGCTCATCTCATGTTTTATTTAAAGGCCATCCTAAAAGAGAACTATGATTTTCTTTACAGTGTTGTCTCTAAACGGGCCCTAATTAACTAATGTTATGAAATTCGGGCTTCAAGTTCAAGTCCGGATTCAAA